CTGCATTCCCCCTACGCTTCCAAACCCAATCCCATAGAGGGCTTTCCTTTCCAGTTCACTGTCCCAGCAGCTTTTCTGTAAGCCCCCCAAAAACCAATACAGTAAGTATTTCCTGAGGACATGTGGGGCACCAGGCATGGTGTTAGACAGAGACTGGTGATACGCTGGTGAGCCAAAGGCACACAGACCCCAACCGGCGGGGCTTTAGGTTGGCAGGGAGGAAAACACACAACAAAGCCCGGCAATGACCAGCAATGACGGAAACGGAGATTTTCCTTTGCATGGTGCTGAGAGTTCCTCAACCACATGGCTGCCGACCTGGTCTGGCCCTGGAGGCCTGGGCCAGAGGGGAGTCAGAGGGCTGCTCTGGACTCTGGCCCTATGCCATTCAAAAAAAATCAGTATGAACTCATCACACTTATTCAGAGAATGCTTCATGAATAATCAGGAAAGCAACAATAAATACGTAGATTTTCAGGTTTGTTTAGCAGCAGGGAAAGAGGAAACGTATGTGCCGCTGCAGCTGTTCTGGCCTTTTCATTACTCAGGACAAAGTCGGCTTCCTCAGGCACCAGAGAGAGAAGTGAAAAGGCAGCTCTTCCTGACATCTTTAGACTCTCCCTTCTATCCATGTCCCTGGGGGACCCAAAGAGGCAGCTACTTCTCCCTTCACACCCAACCAACACAAACAAGGAAAGAAGCCAAGAGGAAGGAAGCGGTCTGGCTGCTCTGTAAGGCTGAGGGGCACCTCCCCCCCAGATCTGAGGTCAGCAATGTGGCCCCCGCCTGTAGGTCCCAAATGACAGACTCAGTCAGGACTTGAAATCAAGAGGTGCCCTCCATTCCCAACAACAGTCCCTTGTGTGGACATCAGGCTTCTCTGCCTCCCATCACCCAGAGCAGAAATGGTTCTGAAACACTGAACAGGCAAATCAGTAAGCCAGTGTATAAAACAGGCACCGTGAGTGGCAAAGTGACAGGCATCTGGGCAAACATGGCCAACAGACACTGCCTGGCTTGCAGTGTTTTAAGATTGGAAAAGTTCACATGTAAACCTTGACATCCAAGTTCTCTTGAAACGTCGAATGATCAGACAATAGTGGGTTTGCCTTCCCAAGTAGAATCTGAGACAGGCCACTCTACTCAGAAAGGGCAAGCCCTCTCCTGGGTTGCCTCTCAGGGGCCCTGGACCCACCAGCTACTGTTAACTTGCACCACTTGTCTGACCGCAATACAACACAAGTCTCCGAGCCCTGTCCTAAGCGTTACAAGTTTTATATCTCCCACTATACTGAATGGAAAATCAAGCAGCACAAATCTAAAGTAAACATTAAGGGTTTTAAGATTTATATTTTCACCTCTCTCACAACAGTACCCAAACCCTACCACAGAAGCACCTGCTGAGGATATGGGGGGCAGCAGGGAAGGAGAGGGCAAAGGAATAATGCAGTCCACGGAGAATGAGTAGAAGCACGCCACAGGCCTGACACACCCCATCATGGGGCCCACGCTCACTCTCATGACCGCAGTCCAACCACAGGGCAGGACAAAGGCCTCAAATGCCTTCATCCCATGCATGATGGCTTTGACCAAACATGGAGACTTAATGACACACCCAAACCTGCCAAGTCCCATCTGTAGGGCTGCTCTCCCACCTCCCTACAAGAAAGTGAAAAGAACTCAATTTCCTTTCAGCAGTTCCAGAGAAAAAGGAATCAAGAAGGGTGAAGTTCAACTTGCCCAAACAGATGTGAGGAAGCAGGCTGAGCAATCCAGGGCTCAGGCCTACCTAAACACAACTTCAACAAAAGCAAACCTCAAGCTCACTGCAGTTGCAGAGGCTGGTCACTTGTTCTATTATCTTTCATGTTGTCTAAGTCCTAACACAAATTATGAAACCAAAAAAGAGGAAGCACATTTTAAAGAAGTGAGACCTGTATCTGAATCCAAATCACACTTTATACAACTCCTAATCAGAAAATTATAGTTACATCATATTGGTTCTTCCAATATAACACTTCTAATAATTATTGCTATTTATCATTCACATTTTTAAATATATTTATAGAGTGCTTTATAATTCTCAAAGTCCTCCTGTCCCTTAGGGATAGGTAAGTTGGCATAGAGCATTTGCCCTAACAAATGAAGGCATTAAGGCACAGAGCCTGCAAGTAAGTTGCTCAAGGTCACACAGCTGATCATAGTTAATACAACTCCACAGCTCATCCATGAATTCCAGATAGATAGATAGATAGATAGATAGATAGATATAAAGTGACTTGGTAGTCAAGAAAATAGTAGACCCTGATGAAGAATAAACACAAAGATGAAACGCTGTCATTTGCCTGCTTATACATACACACCGTGATACACACACACACACGCCAAAGCCATATTGTAAAACTTAAAATATAATGTTCAATAAAAATTTAATGTTAAATATTTTAATGCTTAAAAATTATCCTAATGTTAAATTAACTGGATCTGCCTAGTTATTCTTTCTGACAGATTATTAAAAAAAAGGTGACCAGTCTGAATTACAGGTTTAAAATACAATTTTTGTCTTACTCATAAAAGAGCACTGTAACCACAAAGCAACCACTCACATCAACTCCTTCCATAGTCAACATTCAACATAATTACTCCTAAACGGGCAACACTGACGTTCCTTCCAATGAAGTATGCCACGAGAACATCCGGGACTCTAGGTCCTGAGCACATGTCGCCCTCTAGTGGCATCCACCTCCCCATATCCTGGGTGAAGTCCCTCATTGGAGACAACTGTGCTTTAGATAGCTTATAGTGTGATTTTATTCACAAATACAAAACTTGGGGGGCCCCTGGGTGGCTCAGTGATTAAGCATCTGCCTTCGGCTCAGATCATGGTCCCAGGGTCCTGGGATCGAGCCCCGCACGGGCTTCCTGATTCTCTCTCTCTCGCTGAGTCTCTGTCAAACAAATAAAATCTTAAAAAAAAAAAAAAAAAAACTTGGGACGCCTGGGTGGCTCAGTTGGTTAAGCATCTGACTCAATCTCAGTTCAGGTCTTGATTTCAGGGACGTGAGTTCAAGCCTTGAGTTGGGCTCCATGCTGGGCATGGAGCCTACTTAAATATACATATGTATATATAATTTAGGTAATTATATATACATAGATATAAAACTTAATTTCTGCCCTTGATACGACACTCATCATTTTCTCTTAAGAGTGCTAGTGAATAACGTAAGTCTCTGTGGGTGAATGGGACATGTAATTGTGAAGTTGGGCAGTTCATTCACTAGAAAGGTCTATAGTGAGGCTAATCACAAAACTCAAGCGGTTTTGGTGTACTTGCTAAAACGCTCACAAGAGAACACAATCTTTACTCAACACTTGGTGCAAGAAGCTTAGGAGTCCAAAAGGACATCCTGAATTTTAGGTATCTCAATTTTCCTTCCAGGTATCTCACTTCAATATATTAAAAACCTTAGTAGTCTTACAACCTTTTATCTAAGAAAGTCTTTATTACAAATGGACACCATAAAAGAACACAGTAACACCTTAACTTGTGTCAATTAGCAGAGAATTGTGCAGACTTATAATCAGTGTACTCTACGGAAGTACCAAAGCATTGCTGAGACTTCACAATGAATGAGAAAATATGCTCAGTCTGTACCTCACTCAACATTCTGACACTCTACCTGGCAGCAGTGAACTTGCAACCTTATCTTTGAGAAGCAGGGTGACAACACAAATTATTCCAGAAAGAGGAATAACCTAGAAGAGGATCACATCAGGTTCACATCAGGGTGGGATAAGGAAAGCTTTTGGGTTATTGTTTCTGTTGTTTAATCTCTCCTTTCCCCATATTCATTCCCAAAGGCTAGTACGAAAATCAAAGATAATAGTAATCAGTCAACTAAGGTGTTCCTTGAAGGCAGGTACCATGTCTTAAAACTTTTTCATTCTTGGTGCCTAACACAACCTGGCTATACCATGGGTGCTTCCCATTGCAAAAAGAAGACAAACTTGTTCATTATCCCAAAATAAAGTTGAGAAAAAAAAAACTGAAAAACCTTTGTTGATAGGGCAGTTCAATAATGAAACAATCTAATCCAAGAAAGCATAAGATAATAATTGTCTGTGATGGTTAATTTTATGTGTGAATTTGGTTAGGCCATGGTACCCAGTATTTTTGGGCAAATTCCAGTCTAGATGTTGCCGTGAAGGTATTTTTTTAAATGTGGATAACATTTAAATCAGTAAACTTTGAGTAAAGCAGATTATCCTCCATAATGTGGGTGGGCCTCACCCAATTTATTTAAGGCCTTAAGAGAAAAGACAGGTCTCCAAGGAAGAAGGAGTTCTGCTTCCAGATGGACTTCAGACTCAAGACTTTGACATCAACCGTTCCCAGGACCCGCAGGTTGCTGGCCTGCCCTGCACATTTCAGATTTGCCTGCCCTCATAATCATGTGAGCCAATTCCCTAAAATAAATACTTCTTTCTCACTTACATATATATGTGTGTATACATACATGTACGTACACACACACACACACACACACACACAAGTATTTGTATATATTTCCCCTTTCCCATACTGGTTCTGTATCTCTGGAGAATCCTAATACATTGCATACAGATTTTCCAAAGACCGTGACCACAATATTCATTCACTGCTCTAATATTAAAATAGATTCCCCCTAAGTTAAAGCCAAACCATTATATAAAGTCCAATCACTAGATGAAGGATATTCTGCTAGAACTAAAATGACGGGGGCGGGGGGTGATGATAAAAAGTCCAAGAAATATCTTCCCAATAAATACACCTAGGTTGATCAGCCCAAAGGACATTTCATTTTAATAATCTGGGGGCATTTTAGTCCAACAACAAAATCATTTCAGGGTGACATCTTCATAATCTCTTACACTTCACAGAAAAGGCTTTGCCAGAATTTATTGAAAGAAAAAAAATATGCTGAGAAAATTTAAATGAAAAAAAGAAAAATATGAACTACCTCTTGGTTATCTTTGTTTTGGTTTGCCCAGAAAATCTTATGATAAAGCGTCTCCATTGAATTGCTGGAGTCAGTCCGATCAAAACAATGTCGATCCAACACTTCCAACGTGTGCAACACCCGACTGATGGTCACCCCTGGATGTGGAAATAAAGCAAGTGTCAAGAGGTCAAACAAAGCCACAACAGCGTAGTACAAAATCATCATTAGGCAGTGCAAAAGGGATTTTAAGAAAGCGTCATTCTTGGCATGTGAGAATTCCCAGTGAAACCAAACCTGACATTCTCGACAGCCGGGAGCTACAGGGCACAAAATGAAGAATGCCCTCAGAAGTCAGAAGGCGGCTCCGCCAAAAAGCATCCTTACTCACTATGTGGACGGATTGTTAAGAATCAGAAATGCGGCACGAAGTCCAACATTCAAAAGCACCCCTTCTTCTCTCGTGTTCTGTACCTGCTGTTGATTCTTGGCACTTGTCAAAGGACCACCGAACCTCCACTGCACGGCCTCTTTGTTTGATCTGCTGTTCCGCCTCGTAAATCCTGGCCCGAACCTGAAAGATAAGCGCTTCCACTTAACTTGTGCTTGGAGAGCCACAGTAGCTGTCTAAATCAGGTCAGGTTTCCCACATGAACACAGCAGCGTCCTACAGTCCATTGACTACATCATAGCAAATTTAGCCTGTTGCCCAACAAGTGCCCTTTAAAATTTACAAGTGGTGGTTCAATGCCAGTTTTCAATAACAAATTGCTCGCAAAAAAAAAAAAAATATGCTTGCTTTACAAGCGAAAATTTTTTTTAGGTATCACATGGAAAGGTGAAAGCTCTAAAGTATCATTTTTGAGCCATTCTTCTATGTATGAAAACAACGTGGCATGTTTTATTAATTTAAGAGAAATGCTTGCCAAAAAAACAGGGATCTTATTCTCAACATTAGTCACGATCCTGTGGTTTAAGTCTCCGAACCAAAAAAAAAAAAACCCAGCACTAATAAAACTAACTCATAAAAACACAGTTACTAAATATCACAGACGACCAACTAGAAGCGCTGTGGTCATGTATTAGAACCACCACCATAACTACCCTCTGGGTGGCAGAACGCTCTGCAAGAACGGCCCAGCAAGAGGGAAAATAGAAAGGGAGCAACGTGATGAACTTCTGTGGTTCAGAGAGGCTAAATACTTCCCCCAGGTCCCCCAGAGAGATGGGGAGCAGGGCTGGGAACGGCACCCAAACACCTGAGATGCTAAAACCCACTTGGCCCACTCTGCTGTGATGCCTCTCAAGAATGAACACACCCATCAAACCACCCTAACAGGAAGTTCTACCTGCTGATTGAAAGCCGTGTTCCCACCCGGCATGGGGAGGCTGGAGGGGGCCACCTGCAGCAGATCCAGGGGCGAGCCTGGGTTCGCGCTCTTATTGTCGTTTGTGGAATAATTCCACACCAAGGCACTTGGGCAACAGAGAGTGACAGTCTGGAAATGAAGCAGGAAAATCCAGATATTTAAAGGAATGAGAAAAGTGCAACAGCTTAAAAGTAAAAATGATGCCTTGTCATAACGATATTATAGTTTCCTACCAGTGAGTTTAAAATATGGACTGCTGACCCCATTCTCAACTTTTCAAGTTCTAAGACAAAAACTTAAGAATTATTAATTTGAGGGACGCCTGGGTGGCTCAGTCGGTTAAGTGTCTGACTTCAGCTCAGGTCATGATCTCAGCATCCTAGGATCGAGCCCTGTGTCAGGCTCTACGCTCCGCAGGGATTCAGCTTCTCCCTTTCCCTCTCCCCCTGCTTGTGTGCACTGTCTCTCTCTCAAATAAATAAAATCTTTAAAAATATATATATATTATTTAAAGATTTTATTTATTTGACAGAGAGAGAGCGCGCGTGCGAGTGAGCACAAGGAGGGGGAGGGGCAGAGGGAGAGGGAGAAGCAGGCTCCCCCAATGTGGGGCTAAAACCCAGGACCCTGGGATCACGACCTGAGCCGAAGGCAGATGCTTAACCGACTAAGCCACCTAGGCGCTCCCCAAAAAAGAATTATAAATAAAGGGAGGAGTACAGCTACTGAGAAATCAAGGAGTATTATAATTCATAAACTAGCATTCCAACACAGAAAACCTAGGAAAGTTAATAAAAACACAGTAATCATCACTGAAAAATTGTCACTTAAAACAGTTTCTTCAATTAGAAAAATGAGATGGAATTAGAATATGTCATTTCTAAAGTTATAAAATCTAAAAAGAAATTTTTTGTTTTTTTTTAAATCTAAGAAATAATTTCTGAGACAATGCAGGAAGTAGCTTCATAGAAAGCTTGGTTGGCAGTAACCCTGGACCAGCGGGTGGCAAATTTTCTATAAAAAGCCAGACAGTAAATGCTTTAAGCTTTGCACGTCACCTCTAATTTCTGTCACATATTCTTTTTTTGTTTTACTACCTCACTGAAAATATAAAATATATTCTTAGCTCCTGGGCTGGACTTGGCCTCCAGGTTGTGGTTTCTCTACCCCTATCTTAGACCCTTGAAGACATTCTTTACTCAACCAACTTGCATGAAGCACTTTCTAGGACCGCCTCACTCACAGGTCACAGCAACCCCATGAGGGAGGTAGTGCTATTCTCCAACTGTACCAGAGAGGAACATGAGCCATGGAGGAAATTTAGTAACCAGCCAAATTGATTTCAGCACACATGCTTGGATCCACTATGCTAACCCTGCCACCACCTAAATGGAGATGAAATATTATGGCTCCAGCGTAATTAAGCCCTTACTCTGTACTATGCACTGCCCTGGAAGCTTTCAGTCATCGCAACCTGAACTCTGTGTGGTGCTGAAGTAGGAACTGTCACCAACCCCCTCACGCCCAGGAAACAGAGGCTCAAGGTTCAAGTTAGTCAGTGGCAGAGGGGAGGCTAAAGTCAGGTCTGCAATGATTCTTTAAAAAATAGGTCTTAACCATCATGCTGTGGTGCTACTTGACAACAGACCGTGAGCTTATTAGAGAGGGAATGCAGTATTTCCTTTTTTCTAAAATGCAAAATTAAGTATTAAGAAAACTAGATTCTGAGGTCTAGGGGACGTCTTGTGGAAAGCAGATGGCAGACATGAAGAATGTCAAGTCCCTGAGCCCCACCAATGCATCTGCCTCCAATGGCCCACATCCCCAGCGCCCTCCTCCTATGTGTGAGCAGGGCGGGGAGTGTCTCGTCTCCTGTCCATGATGGCACTCGTCCCAGTGTTCTGAATTCCAAAGCCTCCAATATCCAAGGTGCTGATCTCTCAAACAACCCGCTTCTCCTGTTCTACCTACTAGTTTACCCTCGCCTCAGAAAACAAACAAAACCTTTTAAAACTCTCCACTCACCTAGCAGCAATCGCCCTTTTCCCTTCACAGACATGTTTCTCAAAAGAACAGGTAGCATTATTTCTCCCCATTCTTCATCGCTCCTCAACCCACCTCCATATGGCTTCTCATCCACCGCTCAACTGATCATCAATGACCACACTCTTCCCAAAGACAATCCAGCCATCTTCTTACCAGACTTCCCCAAACCACAGGGCACTACCCACTACTAACTCCTTTTGGAAAGTTTCTGCAATACCTAGAGAAGCAGCTTAGCACGGCGGTGCAGACTCTGGATCCAGACTTCTGGGTGTGAATTCCAGCTTTGCCACTTGCTTGCTGTGTGACCTACACCATTTCATCACTAATGCTGCGGCAATTATACTGGTTCCAATCCCATAGGATGGTTCTGAGAACTAAATGACTTAATATAGGTTACAATTTACAACAGTGCTTAGAACACAATAAATGCTATTACTAGGATTATAACAGAATCATAACAATCCTGGGGCATCTGGGTGGCTCAGTCAGTTAAGCGTCTGCCTTTGGCTCAGAGCGTGATTCCAGAATCCTGGGAGCCCCACGTTGTGCCCTCTGCTCAGTGGGGAGCCTGCTTCTCCCTCTGCCCCTCCCCCATGCTCATGCTCTCTCTCACTCTCTCTAATAAATAAAATCTTTAAAAAAAAAAAATCCTAATAATCCTATTTTTATTCTGTCCCTGTCTCTATAACAGCACTCTCCACCTTCTGTTCTCCCCAGTCTGGCCACACTTTCATGGTTGTCTCCATGGACTTCCCTTCTGCCATCTCTCAGCCACTCAGGGCCCCGGGGTCCACAGGTCACCTCTCACTGCTAATTCTTTGAGTAATCTCACCCCTTCTTGGAGGTTTGGGTGAACCTAGCAGCCCTGAGTGACTGAAATCCACACATCTGGCTGGTTGTCTCCTCAACTTCAGAATGAGACATGTAACAACCTCTTGAACATATCCATTTAGTGATAAGGGATAAAATAATCCAACACAGTCCAAACACGAACTTACCTAGATTCTCCCAAACTGACTTCTTGGCCTCGTCTCTCTCTCTCTCTGCCCCGTCCCCCCACCTCACCACTCCCACAATTCTTCCCTCTACTGTGGCCAAAACAATCTAACTAAACCACACAACCGACCATGTCATTTCCCTGCCTAAAACCCTGCAATGGCATCCCAATCATAAGACACACAGGGAATCTTCTATGCCCTGACCCTTCAACAGGCTTTATGCTTTATGTTCCATAAATACCAACTGGCACACACAATGACTAATAGACCTCCTGGCCCTTTTCTCATGCTGTTCCCTCACCCAACCGTTTTTAGCACCTTTTACTTAAAAAAAAAAAAAAAAAAAAAAACTTCTATTATAATAAGCGCTAGTCAGGGCCACTTCCTTCAGAAAGCCTCTCTGAATTCTAGGTTGAACTGAAGTTCCACTGCTCAACTCCCTCAGTCCCCTGTACATCTTCCATCGGCCTTTGCCAACGGTATATGGACACTGTCCATTTACAAGCCTGTCTTCCCCACAAGACAGTAAACGCCACCAGAGTGGAAAATATGTCTTTATGGCCAGCCCTGCACTGAAGCCCTGTAGTAAAGAGAAGGACACAGTGAGAGCCCAAGAAATATGACCTGAACACTAACCTGGGAGCTCCTCGAGGACAGGGCTGGATCTCATTCCTGACAGTATCAGCCCAGTGGCCTACATGCTACTGGACGTTCAAGGACCGCACAAGCAGTGATGCTTGGCAGAGGAACAGAGCCTGATAAGCTACCTGGATTTTAAAGAAACAGAGAGGGATGGCAACCAACTTAAGATGAGGGCTGTGGATTTCTAGAAGAGGAGCGAGACAGCAGACTTATTCTCTGGGTTCCCGGAGGGTTTTATCACTGAACTGCTGCATGGTGTACTAAAGGACGACTACAATAACTTTCTTCTGCACAGAAGCAACAGGTCTTCCACAGAGAAATAAAAACATGAGATTTCACTTTGTCAACTACTTGGCTGAGGAAGAAACAGGAGTGTGACGTGGAAGTTGAAGGTGCAATTCTCAACTCCGTTGTTTCCTACACTGAATGGTAACATAAAATAGCACGGACCCGGGACTTACCTGCAGCATACAACTAAGTCCATACACCAGGGGGCCATGCTGTGCACAGGACAGGAAGTCTGAGAAGGCCAGCTGCACGGGGCTCATGACGGGGCCCGGGGCTCCAGGGCTGGGGGCCCCGATGCTTGAGCTGTTTGGTCCTATCATCATGTGGGGCGAGTGCACAGCAAGGAGGCTGGGACTATCGCTCAGCAGCAAGGCAAGACGCCGGGCACAAAAGTAGGCAAGACGACGAGACAGGTAAGCCGACTGAACAAACTCGTCCGAATACTGAGAAGCACAAGGACACCGGGCTTCAGTCACGTCTGATGCTAGTCAGTGAAACAACTATTTTAACACAGGCTTTTTTCATTAAGAATAAAAAAACAAAAAAAACCTTCAAAAGTACTGTAGAGACCAGTGCCATCCACAGAAACAATGCAAGCCACATACTTAAAGTTTTCTAATAGCCATTAAAAAAAACAACAGGCAAGATTAAAAAGAGTAGTGTATTTTCTCTAGCCCATTATATCCAAAAGGCTATCATTTCAACAGGTAATCAACACAAAAAGATTTAATGAGATATTATACACTCTTTCCTGAACTAAAGCTGAAATCTGGTGTGCATTTTACACTAAGAGCACATCTCATATTGCACTTGTCACACTTCAAGGGCTCCAAAGCCACATCTGGCCAGTGGCTACTCCAGCGGACAGCACGGGCACAGACTGTCACAGGGAGGGCACACAGAACACTAGCACAGCGCAGCCCCCGGGGGGGCACCGGGGAGAGGGAAAGAACCACTTTTCACTACATACTCTTGCAGAGCGCTTCAATTATCAAGTTCATGTACTAGTGTTTCAAGAAAACTCTTTTTTCTAAATAAATTTTCTCCAAATGACCTAAATTTTAACAGATCTTAGAGCAATCATTAAAATAGGAAGTTCCCGGCCCCAGGGACTCAAAGAACATCAAAAAATACAGAAGACCCTCTAATCCTTAAAAAAGAGATGATTTGTTTTCACAGAAATCTGTGTGAATCAGGAAACAGTATTTAAAAAGCTATCTGCTTAGCTCAGTGATGGGAGAAATCACGGGGGGGTGGAGGGGAGGTGAGAATACTTTAGAAAGACAGGTGGTTAAAAACTATGAACATGGACAACATAAATAATTGGCTTTTGATCACTTCATGTGTTGTAGCATCAAAACATCTTTCCCTTCCATTCCAAAAAGAATTTTTTTCCTCTTCCCCATCCACATACTTAGTCATCCTTATCAGACTCACTTCTTGCCCATAAAAATCAGTGGGCTCAGGGTCACACATACTATACCTGCAGCATTAGTGGTAATAAGAGTTTAAGAAGATCATCATCCATTGGTCTGATCTTTTCTAAAACATCCAAGATCCATGTCAAATATTCATGTTTCTCTAGCATTCCTTCCTTCAATGAACAAAGAAAAGTTACACTGATAACGTTAAAGCAAAACCAATTAACATTCAAAAAAGAGCACTATTACTCTTACTCTTATGCTTAAGTATAATTTTACTATTATTATTTTTGTTGTTGTAGTAAAAATACAGTCACCTGGATCACAATCCAAATTCTGAACAAAACAAAGACCCAGTGTGATTCTGTCTGGTCAGTTTAGGGTGGGTATTTTTGTTGTTTTCGCTTTTTTTGGTAATCTGCTTCATTCTAAACTGAAAAAAATTAATCCCTACGAGAAAGGAAATTCAGAAGCTTTCAGACACCCAGGGCATGTCAAGCACCTGGCTAGATTTCAGGGGGGTGTATGAACTTATACTCACAGGAGAAAACTTGTCCAATGGTGCTAATTATGAAGAACAAAAGCCCCCATCATACCAGCGTCTCAGCAAGCAGCTGAAAATCCCATCAGAACTAATGCTCTCCTAATAACCCCTGCCTCTATCCTAAAATGAATTTCAGATACTATAACCTATGTATAAAATATAACCTTAAAAGTCAATATAATGTCCTAACCGTTAACATAAAGAAATGAAAAAAATTATTAGAAAATAATGTATACATATTCCAACATAACTATACTAAAAGTAGCAACACACCTCAAATTTCCAAAATGCCCCACAGGGGTGGTATAGCCCCTCTTGACATAAGAGCCATTAACATTTTCATCTATTACCTTCATATAAACACACATGCATTCATATAAATACACAATTCTTCTATGACAGTCTATGCATGTATTTAATGTCATGTTCTAGTTTTGTATTATGATTCACATCCTGAAAGAATCTTCAAAACAGAAACAAAAAGATATGTTTTCTGGGAAAGACACATATTTTTATGATCACTGTGGCAACAAGCTTAGTAGTTAATATGAAATCCTACTTTATTCCTAGCAATATTTTCATATCTATTTATCACCAGTGCTCCAACATCAGGATTATCAACAATTTGTGTGAAAATATACTGATAAATTATAGCTTCAGTATTTAAATGATTACAGTGTCACCACACTGACATGATATCAAGGCATCTACTTGTTGCTCATTTCTAATTTTTAAAAAGCTTAAAATCAAAGAGTTAAAAGGTTAGTCAGAGAAAAAGTTCAATTTAATATTTTAAGACCTGTGATGTGAACTTTAATAAAGAAATGAAAAAAATAGAATTTTGTATTTAAGGCAGAAGAGATGGCAAATGCAAGGTTCAAAAAAAATAAATCTTTCTAAACATGACTTTCAATGGCTACGTCATATCCATCCTCAGGATGTTTTTGTGTATTTAGCCATACCCTTATTTCTGCACAATTTCATGTTTCAGAATATGTCCAATTAAAATATAATAAACTTTTAAATTTAAACATTAATGTCCCAATTAAATTCATCTGTTTAGGACCCAACTGCCTCCTATAAAGGAGATATGGATTTCAGTGTTCCCAATGCATAAAGTAATCCTTCCAAAAATATTAAGCACGCTGAGAGACACTTTTTTCAAAGATGCAGACTAAATCCTCAGCTCAATAAAAGTCATAAAGGCTCAAAGAAGGTACCAAGGTAGTCCTCTGCTAAATGGAACTAGGATTTATAAGATGGTTTTTAACTGACTTAAAACTAACAATGCTACTTCCCAAAGAACTGGGCTTTTTCCTACTTTGAACTCTTAGAAAAAGTCACTTACAACCTGGAAATTATAAAGTTCTAAGAGGACAATTTTGAAACCACACATCCTTTTTATCCCCTTCCTCTCTGAACAAGATAGCAGGTAGTGAGTGAAAGTCTCTGCTAGTCATACAACTTCAGCCGAACACACTTCTCCCTCCTTGCTAGGAAGAGGCAAATAATAGCACAAGCGCCCTCTTCTGGTCAATATGATTTACATCAGCTTGTCCGAAGAGCATTCAGTCCTTGCTCCGTGCCCTTACTCATCCTCCCAACTATATTTTAAACTGTCCCTGAGCCAAATTAAGACGACCCTTCCATGGAGAAACTAAGCCCTAATAGAGATCGAGGAGATAGGAAGCACCAACACAAATATTTTTTTGAATAATCGTATCCAAATTTTTCAAAATAAGAGGTTTGGAAGGGATATTTAATAGAGAAATTACCAAAAAATTAACAGCATTAAAAGAGCTAAGATCTGGGGCACCTGGGTGGCTCGGCCGTTGGGCGTCTGCCTTCGGCTCGGGTCATGATCCCAGGGTCCTGGGATAGAGCCCCACTTCGGGCTCCCTGCTCCGCGGGAAGCCTGCTTCTCCCTCTCCCACTCCCCGATTGTTCCCGCTCTCGCTAACTCTCTGTCAAATAAATAAAATTAAAAAAAAAAAAAAAGAGCTAAGATCACTGAAAGCTGGAGATCAATATATAGAAGCAGGGGCTGTCATCTCGGGGAAAAGGTGGTACCGTGAATACAACTCAAGGTGAGAAACGTCAGACTTTCTCTGAATGTATTTGGTTCATATAAAGATAGCACTTAAACCGTAAGGACTTCTCTCTCTTCTTAAAAGCATGCTGTAGGGCCTTGAGGCTCTTGAGAAGGTTACCTGGAACATGTGAAAGGCCAGCTTCTCGTTGTACTCCCACTGCTTCATGGCCTGTTCCACATCCGGTGGCACTGGGACAGGACCATCCCCCGCGCTGGAAGCCACGTGGTAGAAGTCGGAAATCTTGGCCAGCTGCTCTCGAAGATATCTGGTAGATATCTGTGTCCACTCTGCATTAAAAACAAACAAACAAATCTAAATTTCCAGACATGATGAATATAAGAATTAACGTTTTCTCCCCGCTTTCTGATTAGCTTAAGGATGTACATATAAAACAAACATCTATTACAGAAAAGTGGTTTTGGCATGTGCAAGCATTGTACAAAAAAGCACACCCACCCCAGTAAGGCAACGTGGACGGCCCTCCACAGCCCACAGGAAGGTTGGCCAGCTCTTGGGTGGAAAAGGCAGCTCTCCCCGTGTGTCTCTGTGACTCTTAACGGAGGAGGAGGAGATGCCTGCACTTGAGTTATGTGCATTTCGTGATGTTCCACGTTATGCTAACAACAGCATAAAAAATTTCAAAGCCACAAGCAGGAAACAGAGGAGGTGAGCACCTCAAAAATTTCAATTCTACTCCAAAGCAATTCAAAACCTCCAAATGCAGCTCTCCAAGTTGGATTTCAAACATGCCTAATTAAGATTTGTTCCATTTTTGTCCATCTGTAAGAGGAGCGGCATTCACCACGGGCTGGCCCATGACAGCATCCTGACCTGCACTCCCCCTCCCCACACCTGCTAAAAACACCAGCACGGCTGCCTCTTGGACAACCATCTGGACCTTCAATTATTTTACTCTCCTCAACCAACACACCATACCTCAGAACTCAAATCAGAAAGAGCAGTGAGCAACAAAAGGTAGGAGACTGGAAAAGAAATAGAAAAGTACCATTACAAAAAAAAAAAAAAATCACTAAAAATATTCAAAAATGTCTGCCAGAGGGGCACAAATTAAATCAGTGTGTTGCCTCTGGCAACCATGAGGTATGTGATGCCAACTTTAGCCCATTCTGTGGATAAAAATGTAATAATTGCATGTTCACAGCCAAATTTCCCCAAGGATTAGCGAAACAGCATTTCAGAAGAAACTACCCTACTGAAACGTTACCACACAATGCTATTTTCCCATTATCCTGGCAACTGGCTCTCCCACCTTATTTTTAAAGGAACCTATTTTGACAAAAGTAAGAGCAAAAACCTAACATCTGTTGGGGATTCAGGGTTTTGTTCTTATTCTTTAAGTACTCTTAAAAGTACTTGACAACAGTACCCAGAGAGAACTACTGTTAAGTCTTGGTCTAAACCACTTATTCTCACTGTGTCTTTTTTAAAATCAAAATTCAAACACACATGTTAAACTCTAGTAATAAGCAAGTGCAAAAAGATGAACAGATACTAGGTCAACATTCTGTTCCTAATACTGTTCTTCAGAAAGCACCACCAATAACAGATATTATCATTAAAATTAATCTATCGTCATTAAAAACAACAGTAAATTATCAGTGTCATCATCTTCTGGTGCCCCCGTTATGGACTAATAGTCTCATGACACTTGTTTAACAAAACAAAATGCCAACCATCAGATGGGACAAGTTTAGCTTAGCTATAATAAGCAAAAACAAAAATAACAAGGATCCAAATCCTAGCTTTTGTGTGCCAAGCCTTGCTATTAACTCACTCTCAGTATGGTACCATCCTCAATACCCCCACAGAATATTTTAGCCTCAAGAGCTAAAGATAACACACACATTCACACACCCCTACTTTGTCCAGGGTATGTTTTCTTTTTAAGATTGTTTCTTAAAATATGGAAGAAATATGTTCACTACAGAAAATGTACAATGCAGATATGAAAAGAAAAACATCTGTAATCTCCTCACTCATAATTATTTTAATATTTGTCTTTTCAGGTTTTTTTTTCCTTTGTATGTGCTGGAATGTTTATATAAACATATGCATTTCTTTAAAAAAATATGCTGAATAGGACATTCCACAATCTGAATGCCTTTGGGGATTCAAATGGAATGCAAATGTAGCCCTCTTAAGTAGTGTGTTTTAATTCTATTTAACTGGCATTAAATTATATCAATCAGGGAGATTCAGAGGTCTGGGACATAAGACAGTCTAGAGAGGATTAGTTTAAAAAATTAGGATGCACACAAAATTTTTATTAAAAATTAAAAACAGAGGGGCGCCTGGGTGGCTCAGTTGGTTAAGCGTCTGCCTTCAAGCTCAGGTCATGATCCCAGGGTCCTGGGATAGAGCCCCACTTCGGACTCCCTGCTCCGCGGGAAGCCTGCTTCTCCCTCTCCCACTCCCCCTGCTTGTGTTCCCTCTCTCGCTAGGTCTCTGGCAAATAAATAAATAAATAAAATCTTTTAAAAAAAAATTAAAAACAGAAAATTGCAAATGGCCACCAGTACTCTACCCCTTAAAATTATTTGGATTCACTGGCCCACCCCCTCCTGCTTAGTTATGGCTGAGAATGAAGCTGAGCCCTGGGGGCAGCAGTGGCAGGACCCAGGGGAGTTTCTACCAAATGCCAGTCGCTTCAGCCCCTCCCTCCAGATCCTGATTTAACTGGTCTGGAGTAAGGGGCCCAGTTTCAGGTGATGAAAAGAAAATAGGAATCAGAGGGAAGATGGTGGGGATGAGGGGAATATTCAAAGGTGGAAAAGATGCAGGCCGTGACCAAGGAGGCCACTCGGCAGGGGGCGCAGCTCTACATTCAAGCAGCTCTGAGGATACAGCCACATCATTTGTAGTTCATTGATACTGAGAACTTCAGGGCCATGAAGGCAGATGATCAGATAGTTTATGCACATAAACATCACTGAGAGTGGTGTCAGGGGCCAGGACTGAAAAGAATGACTGGTCCCTTTGACAAAACTCCCCCTAGCTCCCTGAATCCTCTGGCCACTATTGCCTAACCCCCCAAGACAGAAGGGGTTTCAGACGTCATGCAGCTCAATCTAGCATTTTCTAGATCCAGGCACAGCAGGCTTATGCAAGGCCCCACAGCTAGACCTGAAGTACACCATCCGGTGTGAGATGCCCCACTCTAGTACATGAAAACACATAAAGGTGAGAACAGAGATGTGCCAAGTTAAAGATGATCCTCCTGGGCCTAGAATACCTGCAGTATTAAAAAGAAAACTGGGAGGAGCCCAGTAGAGGAGTAACATCCACCCTGGGGGCAAACACAGAACATGCCAAGTGCAGCAGGGCTCACGGAGAAGATACCCTGGCCGGGACGCATGAGTAAAGAACACCACAGGGCTGCATTTAGTGATTTTGGTAGAATGAACTTCGGAATAGGATGGCCCTGGTGCAAATTCTCATTCTGCTACTCAGCTGTGTGATGTGAAAAATGGTGTCTAACTTCTGCTAAGTCTCAATTTCCTCCTCTGCAATAGGAATCACTCTCTCTCTCTCTCTCTCTCTCTCTCACACACACACACACACACACGAGTTACTGTAAGGATGAGTTACTTAGCATGATGCATGCAATGCAGAAGTTGATCAACATGTGGTAGCTATCATCACCACATGATTGGGATGAAGAGTTTTTCGAAAGGAAGCTAAAGGTTCGGTCTTGACTGTCAGAGTACAGCACCTGTTGTCACTGATGTTAGACCCTGCCTCTGCTGCAGCAAGTTGCCAATGCCTAACATAATGCTCTGGATAAGTATTTATGAAATCAATCCATGTCAGTTTCATGATTCCAAAACCTTCAATGGATCTGCAATCCTTCATGAATTAAGGCCAAACTCCTTAGTTAGGACTTAAAATCATTTCAAATACTACCTACCATTAAGTAGCTTCAGTTGCTTTCTCTCTGACTCTCGGGCCTATAATGCTCTTTATCTACCGTACCTTCTCTACTCACTTGTGTTCACTTGTGAGAATTTTTCTGGACCCAATTCAAATGTCAAATCGAATATGTAGCCTTCTTTGGTTTCTGGACACCAACCCACCACCTAAAGGGGCTCTCCCTCTGTTCTCAGATATATCACAATTTCCTCTTTCATCTCCATAAAACTATGCCTTACATAGTCAACATCTAAGTACTGACTTGAATCAATACACTATAAGATGCTCCCAAAACAACCACTAAATCAAGTCACTCCCCAATTATTCTGCCTCTCAAATCTTCCTACAAACATCTTTGCTTTCTAGTTTAAACTCATCACTGCATACCTAGCTTTCAAACACCATCTAGGAAATGCCAAATCCCCTCTCTAGCAGGCTCTGTCTTTATTACAGACAGTGCAACTAGAAGCACCTGCTAGTCAATGCACTACAAAGGCCCCGTGCAAACCGTGAACTTTCAACTCTCTTTAATAAACTTTCAATAAATACATATGTGTGTCCTTTAATTTTGTGAGGCTCATTTTCCCAGCCAAAGTCTTTCCTCCGATATCAAATCAAGCGGGAACTCACTCTGTAAAATAAATCCAGTAGAGATTGTTTAAAAACTTCCACCAGTCCCAGAGAGTTAGGTGCACATTTTTAAGGTGATCCACTTGATAAAGAACTTTAGTCAAAGAGGACAGTCTCCTTGAAGGAAAAACCTATATCCTAGAAAATTCTTCCTAGCTACACCACTGTAATAAAAATTCTTGCCTCTCCACAGGGAGAGCAGCCTGCTTCTCGGAACTATGACGTAGAGGACTTCATCAGCCTGACTTTGGTGCAGACTGAGAGGTGGGGAGAAAACACTTCAGTGCATGCAAGACACAAGCACATTCCACCTCTAAATATGCAGTAAGAATGATTGGAAGATTTTCCACCATTTTTCTCACTTTTTTTTGTTGTTAAAAATGCTTTCTTGATCAAAGGATGCCATCAATAAAGTGAAAAGACAACCTACAAATTGGGAGAAAGTATTTGCAAATCATGTATCTGATAAGAGACCTGGATCTAGACTATATAAGGAACTATTACAACTTGATAATAAAAAATGGGCAAATGATCTGAACAGACAAGAAGATAAACAAATGGCCAATAAGCAGATGAAAAGATGCTCAACATCATTAGCTACCAGGAAAATAGATACCACTAGGGCAGTTATAAACAAAAAGACAAAGAGTAACCAGTAGCGTTGAGGATGTGTATGAACTAGAATATTCATGTATTGCTGGTGGGAATGTAAAATGATATAGCCACT